CGGCTCAAGGCCGTAAACGAATGAATCCTGCGCCCGCCGCACCGCGATGTTATTTACTCTCATACGATTGAAGCGCCCAGACGCGCACGCCCGGCTCATGGCCGTAAACGAAGGAATCCTGCGCCCGCCGCACACTTACTCTCATACGATTGAAGCGCCGAGACGCGCACTGTTAGAATTAAGTTCAGGCCCAGCTGCCTATATGTTCGAAGCATATATACTTGCCTATTTAGCCCAAAGATATGGAATTCTTGTCCAATTACGTTTTCTCTCTTCGGTATGATGGTACTCTACAGAACTCGCTAATCCTAACAAATCCATGTAATTAACACCCACTTACTTGACACATTACCCTTCTCGTAACAAATTATTCTTATTATGCCCTCATTTTTTTTCTTGCAACTTAGTAAGGTGATTGACAAACACATTATTATCCTCCTCCTTAGCCCTTTTACTGGCCTGGTACACTTATATTTCAGCTTCTGAAGATGATTGACCCTCCTCGCTACTGAATGTTGTACCTCAGTGCGAAACCTCCACCGCACCCGCTACCTTGGCACGCGACGACCCAAGCGACCATCGGATCACCAGGAACCATCTGTAGATACCTAACAGAACCTGTATCTCTATGTGCTACTGCAATGTTCATGCGTTGCAGACGGCTCGAGGGCGAGCCTTACGCGCGGCCGAGCGATGTGAACAACACGTAGCAAGACCGGATGGCAGAGTCACACCTCGGTCCAAACAAATGCCTTTCTCCTTGGGCAGGACGCAGGTGTTGCCTTCCTTTCTCTTTTCACACAGGAATAAACATCCCTCCAAGGAAACCGCCGCATAAAAGGGCACGTGCCTAAGACACAGGGGACAGAAGGAGACACGGCAGACAGGTCAAGCCACAAGGGTTCAGCTCCACCACCTCGTCCTCCACGCGGGGACACGGGGGTCTCTTGGGGTCTCATATCTACCTTCAGAAATAAACCAGCAAGTTAAGACCCCTTTCATTGACCGCCCCAAGACCATCTCTGTTACGCTTACATCTGATGGCAGCGGTGGTCACTTACGCTTACATCTGATGGCAGCGGTGGTCACTTACGCTTACAATATATATATATGTAAATATGTATATATACATATATATATATATATACATATATATATATATATATATATATATATATATATATATATATATATATATATATATATATATGTGTGTGTGTGTGTGTGTGTATATATGTATATATGTATGTATATATGTATATATATATATATATATATATATATATATATATATATATATATATATACATACATATATATATATATATATATATATATATATATATATATATATATATATATATATATATATATATATGTATATATGTATATATGTATATATATATATATATATATATATATATATATATATATATATATATATATATATATATATATATATATATGTATATGTATATATGTATATTTATATATGTATATGTATATATGTATATATATACATATATATACATATATATATACATATATATATATATATATATATATATATATATATATATATATATATATAAATATATACATATATATATAGATATATATACATATTATATACATATTATATAGCATATATATATATATATATATATATATATATATATATATATATATATATATATATATATATATATATATATGTATATATATATATATATATATATGTATATATGTGTATATATATATATATATATATATATATATATATATATATATATATATATATATATATATATATATATATATATATCACCAATATCATCAGTTTAAAAATACATCCTCTAACAGGGCTACTCAACTGGCAGCCGAATCCGGACCTTCTGAGTGTTGTAGCGGACCCCAGGCTCAAAGAGAAGAAAAGTATAATTAAATAAAATAAAGGTCCTGGCGATAGAATCTTGAAAGTGTGTTCCTTCGACGGACTGTAGGGTAAGTTAGGGGACATAAGGGAACGCTATGGAATACTCAGATTGGTGGTTTTATTTTCATGATTTGCATGTGTGTGTGCCTGTTTGCCTGTGTACGCGCTTGACCTTCACCCAGCCAAAAGGATCTGTACACACTACAGCTGAATATCATAATTACATTATATCATATTGATATAAGATAACACTTACCTCAACAGTTTGGACTGTATGAACTGAATGAGAACTGTTTAGTTGATTTCCCCCTGTAGTGAGCGCCGGCGTAGTGTCGCAGTTCGCCACACCGCGGCGCTGCAATAGCTGAACCCCTGCCCGACAGCGTTCCAACAGCAATATACCTGAGGGGAGAGGATTTCAGTGACTCTATTTTAATAACTTGGAGATGAGTTTGTGGTGAAAATCTGTCTTGTGTTCAGATAACTTTATAGAAACATGTAAGAAAAATGGCTTCCCAATTACATCTCGTGATGAGACAAGACGATGTCCCATAAATTTAAAAATTAACCTCTCACCGATAGACTTGCATTTATATTAATCATCGATTTGTTATTACAAACTCTCCACCTAATAAACATTTGAGTAGTTGTATTGATATACTGACCCATAAAACTGCAATATGATGTATATATATAGGCTATATATTTTAAGGAAACCTAGTAAAATAAATATTTTGAACTTCTGCATTATGTATCATGGTATATATGAAATATGTATAATCCATTTACTTCCCGAGTCACTTTTCTTTTAAATCACATTCTTTAAATTGGATTATGCTCCGCAAAGTTTGTATATAGAAAGTTACATATTTCATAATTTTATGATGCACAAAAAGCTGGTTGATTATATGACAATGAGTCATTTTGAAAACATTCATAATTTATCATGTCAAAACTGAAATTCTTATTAGCAGTATAATTAATTATGATTCTCTCTCTCTCTCTCTCTCTCTCTCTCTCTCTCTCTCTCTCTCTCTCTCTCTCTCTCTCTCTCTCTCTCTCTCTCTCTCTCTCTCTCTCTCTCTCTCTCCCTCTCTCTCTCTCTCTCTCTCTCTCTCTCTCTCTCTCACTCCACACTCCACACTGGAAGTAATGTAGAAAAACAGACATTCATCAGGATAAAAATAAATAAAGAAAGAAAGTAAGGAGGAGGTCTACCGGTATTTGTGTGTACGTGTCACTGAGCATTTATTTTGAGGATGTTTACGTAAGTAACGAGTTCGAGACATTATTTGAATTCTGGGCATCTCTATTGGAAATTAGTGTATTCAGGATTACAACATAACAGTGTTCAGTTTGCCTAACTGGTTTGTAGGAGTAAAACCCATCTGATTGAAGACAACACAATTTTTGGACTGTGACTGAGAGGTATATTGGATAGTAGAGCTAAGAACTCACCCCTGAACCTAGACAGACCAGGTTCTAAAAGGTCAGCGAGCCGGAGGAGGTCAGAGGTCAAATCCAACACTTTAAGCAGGTCATCTTCGGTCAAACCTGCTCAAGGGAGGAAGAATCAAGGTCAGATTTTGGGTCATGGCGTCACGCGTCTGTGATGTGGACATGAATTGTATTTTTTTTTTGTTTTTTAACTAAAAAGAATTGCTTACGATAAAACGTCCACATTAAAGATAAATGGAAAGAACCAAAATCAAAATTTGACAATCTTGTCGCTCAAAAACTTTTCATATTGTGTCGTCTATTATGTTTTACACTGTTTCATGTACATCATTATAAATTCCCATTATAGATATCTCATATTCATAAAGCAGTGATTTACTACACTACATTAGTTGGATTTATGTTCACGAGGTGTGGTATGTTGATATTAAAGAAATATGTTTTTATGTAACGCCAATCTTCCCTAAACACGCGTTTGTATTCAATGCAGTGTGTAGATGGATATCGTTACTGTGCCGAAGTGTTTACCTTCAAGAGGGGTCGCCATAAGAGCTTGGATGAGTGCATACTTGAGTTCCACGACTATGTAGTGCGCGTTGCCGAGGACCCGACGGAACTGGCTGAGGGCAGCAGCAACAGCAGCGGCGTCTCCGATCGGCAGGCGCCCAAGGGCCACTCCTCCAGCACGCAGCAGGGTCTCTATCGCGCTCGCAGAGACAATCTTCCCGCAGGCTTGGCACTCCCAGTCGGCGCGGCAGTCCGAGGGAGGCGGCAGAAGGCCGTCACTGCAGCCCCGGCACAGGACGGAGCTGATGTGAGACCCCAGCTCCGTGGGGTCAAGGCACCGCTCGCACCTGCACGTGAAGAGCTTCGAGGTGCTGAGGTGGGCGCCTCGAGCTCGGGTGCCCCAGAGGGTGTTTGTGTAGGTGTTGGTGACGGGGGCGCCCTCGGGGATGTCCACCACGGCTCGCACAGTCATGACGCCGTTCCTGTACCAGTGCTGCGTGTTGGGCGTGCACGAGTGGTTCATGAGGGCGCCGCCAGGCAGGAGGGCGCGGCCGCGTATGTCGCCGTCGCTGAACTCGAAGGCGTTGGTGTCGAAAATGCCGCACAAGTGTTGCACGATGTCGCTGGCGACGGGGAGGCTCAGGCGCGTCCTCAGCACCTTCGCGACATGCTCGTCCACGAAGCGGCCGATGGGGAGCGTGCGCCTCTCCTCAGCGTGGCTCTGCAAGGCGGCAATGACCTCCCTGGCGGCCGGCACCTCCTTCATCAGCAATATCGTCCTGATGGGCGTCAAGAGGACGCTCAGCTGTTTGATGAGGACTGTGTTTTGAGGCTGATCTTTGAGGCCCAGAGGGACCAGAAGTCGGCACTCCTCCTGGCTGTGTCCGTCGCCCCCACAGTCTTGCCCGCAGAGAGGGGCGCCGCACTGATCGCAGCCAACCCACTCACTGCCCTGCAGGGACCTCAGACACGACAGACAGGAGGCGCCGGAACCCGCCTTGGGGGCCACCACCAAGGGCGCCTCGCGGAACACAACCTCGCCGGCTGCGATGTTCCGCGACGCCACCAGGTACCTCCCGAAGCCGGGACTCGAGTGGAT